TCTGTATGCAATGTCACTCAAACATGAAAAAATTATTGCTATCAAACAGCTTAATCACCTGCCAGAACCGCGTCTTGTCCGGAACACGTAGCGCTTTTTGGATATCGACAAGATAGGATTCCGGTCGGGGCATGTTACTCCTCGTGCCGTACCGGAACACCTGGTATGTGACACCATCGATAGTAACATTCACCTGAAGAGAAGGAATTAATGTATGGAAATAAGGCTATGACGACCACCCGTCAATCAAATATAAACTTCCTATTAAGTTGTACCGCTTTCCGATGGAGAGCCGCTTGTCTTCAAAACGAAAAAGAAATAATCGGACTAGGGAAGTTAAGCGCTGTCTGACATAGGGGAGGTAGCGCAGGAGTTGAGCTTAGAGCATCGCTCAAACATAGCAACAGATCATTTATCCCCGGAGTGACGATGGAATCAATCACGGTGCTCTATAACGTCAATCTGTAGCTCTATAAAGTCAATCTGTGTGGGTTGCTGGCTACTTCGCTTGCGCGAATAGCGTCTTTGAGACAGTGTGCGGATTGGTCTTCATGACTGAGCCAGACGGATCCCTTAGGCAAAAGGTCCCGTTACCTGCTCGATGTGAACCCACTAGCATAAGCTCAGCAGGAAAAGTGGAACTGATGGTGCTCTGGAAGGTCAGTTGTGAGCTTCCCTGGCATCGTCTTCGTCACTATTATTCCCACCTCTCCTCCACCAGCTCCAGCACCTCAGAGATGCCAACCTTTCTCGGGACGGAAGTAAAATGGAGGAAAGTCCCGGCCCTGTTCCGAGAAGTGGGGGAGGGGCATTTCGCACTTTCGCCGGTGTCCGTTGCTAATTCCTCTTGAAGTGGTCTCTTGTCAAATGTAAACGGAGCTCACACTATTGCATGGGTTCAAAGGAACTCACAGGTCCCCACAGAAGGCATCGGCAGTGATGGTGGAAATCAGTGAAATGCACCTACCAAGCCGACCAGGCAGGAATCTCTGTACGATACCAAAATTCTTACACTAATTCCCATTATTTCAGGCTGCCTTTGAACAGGCCAAGAACGGTCACCTCCCCTGCTCACCTGAAAATACGCTGCACCCTCGCCTTCGAGGATACTGATCTTGCCGCAAAGCGAGTGCTGGAAGTGAATGAGTTTGCAGCTGCAGAAGTGTGCCACATTGGTCACTCGTGCGCCAGAATGAGATAGCGTTAAGCTGGATACTGCTTTAGGCTCTACCCCTAGGCAAGAGATGCAGACATGCAAGGTGCCGCAGGATCAGGCATGCGCCCAACTACAGCCAAACGCGCTACTTTCTGCCCCCCTCCCAACTTTCAATTATTTGGCTACTTTCGCCAGCTTGCCAACATGTTCGCTGCGGGACCTAGCTATCGACGCAAGTGCCGCACGTTGTGGATAGTGGGCCAGCCCAAGGAACCATTACAACCATCAAGCATCGTTTTGGCGCATTCTTGAATGATGAAAGTGGCACACTTTCACAGTTGCGGACCTGGCTACTTCGCGTACAGCGCATTCTCGAATATGAACTCTGTGACGATTCCTCATCGACAGCCCCCTAATTTTATATTATTTGGCCCACGGAGCCCCGGTGGTAAACGAACAGATACTACGCGGACGAAGGTAAATCCTCCTTTCTTCTGATTGTTACTCGACCAATTTGCAGCACTAACCCCGATTGAAATTCCCGTAGCAGCAAACACTGATGTAGTGAAAAGACAATGTGCACCTTTCGATTGTTCTCCCAGAACTGCAGCTCTTTCTCGACTATTGCCAACATGTTTTTCATGAAATCCTTGTCACTTGTAGCTTCATAGTACTCGTAAAGCATTCCCGCCAGCAATGGCGGGTGAGATCTTTGTAGATAGTAAACTCGTCCACCATTCGGAATAAAGCCATACCTGAACGCAGTTAAATGTAGAAATTCTTGTTCCGATCAATTTAAAACCATAGTCCACGCATATCATGTGGGTGAGCGTTAATAGCTGCTTCTTCCTTCCACTCAGAGGGAGAAGGGGGAGCGCGTTAGCGGAGGGCACAACAGTAGACTCAACAGAGCTCACACGATTGACCTGGACTGTGCCTCTGTTATTTATGTCCTAACCAGTGAGGAAGTCTAGACTCGTGCGACACTATTTTCTAATATGATCCAATGTTTTTTAAAGCGTTGGCTGATTATTAGATGTGTGAGGTGTAACTACTCAGTGACACTTAGCCAGCTTCCAAGCAATGTAATAAGCTTATTTCACGCTACCGCTTCGTAATAAATAAATTACGAAATACAACGAATAAAATCCTGAGGGTCATGTGACCGTGTGCCGTATTGCTAAGGTACAGCGGACGTTCTCAGATAATAAACATACAATAAATTCTGAGAACTGTTACTTGAGATATGATGTACAGTCCACAATGGGTCGCATGGGCGGGGAGTCAACCTTTGTATCTCCTTCATTAGAACGCGCTCTCTCCGAGCTCATGAAAATATGGTGTTCCACCGAATCAGCGCGAACTGTGCCTGCGAAACACCGGCTGAGCCGCATCTTGTAGCGCTCTATATTTGTCCTTTGAAGGTTCGTCCTGTGATTCAAATGGTGAATAGCGGGACTCAAATACCATCGAAAAGATGGTACGCACCTTGGAGGGATCGAAAGAATCTGAAAAACCGTCCAAAATGTCCAAGACTCCTTCATTCGGACTTGAAAGATCCGGTAGGTGAATCCTCAGACAACCATCAAAAATGAACGAGTAGTGCGGTTTGAGGCAGTGGGCGGGGCACTGCCCTGTTCCTCAGCGAGTGGTGTCGTTATCCGTATTTTTCAGTAACGAAGTGATACATTTCCTGTGATGCATTAGAAGTCTAGCTTGTTCAAGAACGGCGTCTACAGACCAAATAAATGCTAAGCGTGCACTTACTAGGGAGGTCGTTCAGGACGTGGAGCGCTTTTTGAAAACGGTTTTTTCGCATGATGTGGGGTCACGTGCATGGAGTACCAAACTGGTGTTCATTTTTCCTGAACGCCTCTGGGAATGCCAAAAATGGAGTGAAAAAAAAGTCCATGGAAACCGACTGTTATTGAGCCTGAATGGGCTCTAAATCACTCGCAAGTTCGGCCAGTTGCTGCCTATAGGGTCCTTATAAAGGTTGTACTGGTATCTATGAGAAAAGTCGGTCCGTCAATGGGGTCGGTACTGTGGCACGTAGTTAAGAAGTCGACGCCAATACGAATGGGCTCTTAAAGCAATCGAAGTGTACTGTGCAGGATCGGATGGCCTATGTGATTAGCGTGGAAGATGTCCCTAAGCAGTCATGGGGACTGGGTGCTATGGTTGGCTCCCCTCGGCTTGCACGTTTTTGCATTTTTTATTTTCCGTTGTTGTCGCTTCCATATACGTCTGTTAATGAATTTTACTCGGATATCTGCCATTTATAGGCACATCCTAAATAGTTATACCCCGTAGTCGTGTAAACATTCAGAATTTCGATTCATCCATACCATTAAGCAAGAACTTGTCTGAAAGCTGATGCCTTATGTTATTCGCGTCGCCTCTGAATCATCGAGTATGTGGCAATTTACTTTCAGGCTCAGTGCCATTTATCTCCCAATTGTGGAGGGGCAAGTCCTCTCTCCCACTGGAGTCGCTATGTACATTGTTTAGGAGCTTGCAGGCCATTCTGACAAGTCAGATTGGATTGACGTCAAGAATAAGTGTCAGAATCGTGATCAGGACCATCGATTACCCCTATAGGCAAACTTTCAGCCAAAAAAATTTTTTTGACTTTTTTGAGTCTGTGCATTGGGTTATGCTCAAGAGTCACTTTGTTGAAGTCGTACTTTTGCTGGTTATCGAAACCCTCATTCAGTGGTACGGAAACAAAAAACTAGCAACAACCATAAACGCCATCGAAAAAAGAACAAAATAGTCATCATTCCTCCAGGTGCATTTGATGAAGAAATCGGATGAGTCTCTCCTCTTGGTAGGGGAGGACGACATCTTCGTTGAGCGAGCCGTCGCGGGGGTCGACAAATGTCCAGGATGGTTTTTCACTTGTTCTGCGGCCACCACCTATGCCATTTTCAAGTATGAAATGGACCTTATGAGCACGGCAAAATCCGCGATATCTGGCTTGCCCGGCGGGCCCACCACGTCATCGCGCTACGGGCCATGCAAGCTCCAAAGTTGTGGGTCTCCGGTCATCACCGACGACCAAATGGTCGGTCTATCACAACTCAAAAAAGTCAAAAAATTTTTTTGAGCCGAAAAAAGTTTGCCTATAGAGTAATCGATGGTCCTGATCACGATTCTGACACTTATTCTTGACATCAACCCAATCTGGCGTCAGAATGGCCCTGCAAGTCCCTCAAACGAATGTACATAGCGACTCCAGTGGGAGAAAGACTTGGCTCCAAATTGGGGACTACGTGCCACAAAAATAAGAAAAAATAGCGACCCTATTACGGACTCATTACTTTTCTCATCGATACCAGTACCTTTATAAGGACCCTATAGGCAGCAACTGGCCGAAGTTGCGAGTGATTTAGAGCCCATTCAGGCTCAAAAACAGTCGGTTTCCATGGACTTCTTTTTCACTCCATTTTGGCATTCCCAGAGGCGTTCAGGAAAAATGAACACCAGTTTGGTACTCCATGCACGTAACCCCACATCATGCAAAAAACCGTTTTCAAAAAGCGCTCCACGTCCTGAACGCGCTCCCTAGTTGATGTACAAAGTCAGTTGCATGCATACTGAGGGCATTTTTCACTCGGATCATATGGTTTACTTGAACCACTGCACTCCTTTCATTTAGGGTCCTATAATGACGAAAAGGAGGGCGTACCGAGTATTCAGGAAGACCAATTATATACTACAGATGGAATCGTCTCTTTTCAGAGGTACAAGCATGGAATGTCTCTTTCAGAACGAAAAAAAAATTGCGCACTTCACTACCCACCTCTCAACTACTGAACCCAAGTTTTCAATCATTGCTTTTGTTGTATCGTACATTTCGGAAGCAACCAAACCCTAAAAAGTAGGCGTTTACTTTTGATAATTAACGTTATATGGTGTTTGATCACTATCATATAACACTGTTTTACTAGATTAAAGGATGCTGGTATCTAAAAATCAATCGTTGGTCGTTACATTGCCCTCAAACTCCAAGCGCATGGACGCAGATCGCGAAATCCTCCACGAGTTTACGAAACTGTGCCCGGTCAAAGGTTAATATTACAGCTGTCCAGCTTGACGCATGAATGCGGCGAAACTGTCAATCACCCTGCAGGACGGTCACGGGGTCTAAAGTTCGCCTAAAGCTCCTAGGACTGAACGAGTTTGAGGAGGAATGCATGCTAGATATCCCTGGCCATAAAGAATCCCCCTGTCTATGGAATAGATCTTCCTGGCGGTGCCATAGGGCTAAGAGTACTCTTGGGTTGAGTTCGGAACATAGGTGTGGCAACCCTGGAGGATAAACAGTGAATTGTGAGCCTGCTGACCCCGCAAGTTGTCGCCAAGCATGTTTTTAATGCTACCGCAACATTAAAGGAGAGCTGAACTCAGGTCTGGATTCAAAAAGGGATCGCTCAACCCTGAACGTCTAAACTGCACGTTTTCAGAGCAATGAAATGGTCAATTTTTGTGAAGTTTGGGAACGAAAGCCACCACAATGGTTAAATAAGCCCACTACTAATATACCACAGGTTTTCTGCTGCCTTATCATCAACTTCATAGGACGTAATAAGCCGGAATTCCCAAAATCAAATTGTGGTCTATCAGTTGAAGGGCAAGTTCATGACAGACCAACCCTTCCTTTAGCCTCCTAAACACCTCACCTTGATGATCCAGTATGCATCCCAGTAGTAGAATTCTCTGAATCGACCACCCGGCATAATGAAGTTATTTGGCAGATAGATTATCGAGTGACGACCATTGCCATGCTCAACCTCAGGATCAATCTGAAGTTCGAGAATATTATATGATCACTCATTAGAGAACCCATCAGTTCGTGTACTCTGAATTCTTCATTTTTTTCGTGCTAATTATGCTTACCAGCTGGTAAACAGAGTAAATGTCGTCAAAATACTGTCCTAGGAAAGTAGCGAAAAGGGGCGAACATACAGTCAAGCCAGGGCGTTTCCCATTTCCGGGAGAGCGTTCCCCATTTCCGCTAGTCTTTGCTAGATCGTCAGGACTGACTCTTGTGACGAGATGTAATGGTTCAAGCCAGCTTGGCACAGGGATTCATAAGATTTCAGAAGGTGACCCGTACCATCTGGTATCACTTTCTGGAATCTTCGCTCGGTACTATTCGGTACCCCCAGCAAGCCGAATTGTTCCATAATCCATAATGTTTACGATCGGGTATTTCAGAGATCGCTCATTTTTAAGTTTCCGCTCTTCTCCGAGGAGATTTAGAGAAATCAACAGTCGTTCTTTTGAGCCTGTCAGGCACGTGAAATCCTTGTGTCAAAACCTTCCCACTCACACCTGTTCTGACGCACGTTTTCTGTTCGCAAAGGTCGAAAACTACGTATGAGTGATCACCTGTCGAATTCTGCAGGGATTCACGTGATGTTTTTATGAAGGATGAAAATGTTCAAAGGTCAAGCTAACCTTTCGACATAGGGTTAGCCAAATCGCATTCAATTTCAATGCCCATTCTCTTAATTGAGGATCAGCGATAGTCATCAGTTTTGACGGTTGTGGATGCCAATCCATTGGTGTGCACGACATCATTTCACTTCCAGCTGGACTGAAATCATTCACAAATCACTTCTTCAACACGGAGGACAACTCCTAACAAAAGAGCTCGAAAAGTTTGAAAAGGAAAAAGTTCCGTTGGTGACTGTTGGCCTGCCAGATGAGAAGACGGCAAAAGAAGCCGTTCAAAAGCTCTAATAATGCCATTTTTTCGTAGCTAGCTTTATCATATGAGCAGACGGTGAAGA